TACAACGAACTTAAGAGACAAGGTTTCAATTTTCCTAATGTTCTGCTCTAGCAGTTATCTCATCCTTTTCTCTTTTCTAACCCGCTAGTTTTTTTTAACATTCACATTCGCATTTTCATGAGCATACGTCGTTGTTTTTGTAAATGATGTCCCTTCACCGACGCGTCGATGAATGCTCTTCTACTGAATGTGTCCAGAAGGAAATCCACTTGAGTGCTTTGTGATGTGGGCTTCTCTGGTGGATGCAGAATCATTACTGGGGGATATTTCGTGGCAAAGACCTAATTTTTGAGGCAAGCTTCGATACGGACACTAGCCTCTGCCTCCTTCGAGAAAATCGAAACCGAAAAGCAACTCTATCCTTCATCAATTGTGTCGAACATGATTTGTGGGCTTCTCATCCACCTTTAGGGTCGTTTTTGATTCATGGAAGCAAAACGAAAGCCTGTTCATATGATTCGATCGTAATTGTTTTAAGGAGGATGCAGCGATAAAGCTCAGTTTGATTCACATTTTCAGAGGTCGAGCCCAAGATGTCCGGTCAAGAAGAATTCGACAGTGTCGAAGTAGCGCTGAAGAGTTGTCTCAAAGGCAGGGACTATGAGGAAGTTCGTCGTATTCTCTACGGAAGGGAACATCCGTGAGTGCTTGACTTTTCCACCAATTCCTTAGGAAATTGAAGTTTGGAAGTTTCAGGGAGCTGCAAATTCCTCCAGAGGCAAAATCAAGAGCAAACGAGGGAAACTTCGAACTGCAAGCGTATGAAATAACAGCTCAGCCTGAGCAGCTTCGACCTCCTAGAATAGTACGTGTATTTTAACGCTGTTCACGAACCACCGAGCAAGGTTATCCGGCCAGGACGGGCTTAGTGGGGCACCAATGGTACTAACCTAAGCTTGTACAAGTCACATTGTAAAAACAAACTGGCTCACTCAAGTTCGCAGTTTCATAGGAGTTTGCAGGTGACTAATAAAGAAACGTAGAAAACGCCCCACCAAGACGTACATCGCCAGGTAATTCAGATGGAACTCAAAAGAGCTATAACTCAATGGTCGCCTCCTACCGACAGTAGCAAAAACGCGGACAACGGGCGGTGACTGCAACGAAGGATGGTGTTTCAGCCCCTGGAGGTTTTAGCCCCAGTGGGCCATCAACCTCTTTTTTATTGCATACCACATGTTCCGCAGTGCCATTACCTTACCCTCCACATTCCTTACCGAATGACGATGCGCAGAGGGTTAAGTTGCGCTCAAAAACGTACGGTTTGGACGCAAACATCCCTTCGGGATCCTTCTACACAATACTTATATTCTTAATCCGGTGTAGTATGAAGGGGTCCTTTGCGTGCGGGACTTCGAAAACCCACGCGTTATTCATTCTAAGAGGATTGGAGGCAAGAACGCCTTGCAAGTCGGTTGGAGATTTCATGCGAACAGGTGTACGAAAGTAGTCTGTTGCCGCAGCATACAGGGGGAAGGCAAAAAAAGACACTTTTCTCCTTGAATTTCAAGGCGCTATAAGTTAGTCTTTATTAAACTCTGACATTCCCACCACCATATTCAAGAGCATATTGTATACTATCAGCCACAGCCTTCTGGACGAGCGCCATCGAGAGATTCTGCCACGCGACCGTGATTCGGTACCTGAGTTCAGCGAGATCGTTGATTTCTCCGCCACTGTAGACCACCCTGTTGAGCTCCGCCCGAACCAGGTAATTGAGGGGGTTAGGTCAGGTGACCTGCTTAGATATTCCACCTTCTTCAGGTACTCAACGCCCTTCCATTCCAAGTAGGCGAGAGTTTTTCCAACGCCCTTCGATTCCGTGTGAGGCACCCAATCCTGTAGCAGTACGAAGTTTCCAAGAAGGTACAGGCGATGACATGAAGGCAGGATATTCTCCACGAGATGGTCGATGTGACTGTCAGCCGTTCAGGTTCAGTCGCCGGGGGTCCACGAAAAAAATATCGGGTCTTCACATTCGAGGATCTTGCGGTCCCCACCATCAACTGGCGCCTTGGGGACTAAGGTGAAGATGACGTCCTAGACCGTAGCGACGTTGTCGGAAATGCTCGATGTTGGAAGTCTTCCAGATCAGGAGCGCTGGTCTCCATGGCTATCCGATGGATGATCCATACGAAAAGCTTTGCGCGGCTTTGGAGGATGACTCCAAAAGCTTTCTCCATCAAGCTGCTGACTGCAGTGGACTTATATTCAGTACATGCAAGCTGATGGTAGCGGAGAGCCTGCTCAATGCTTATTGAGGAAACATCTTGGGTTATCTCCCACACCTGGGCAATCGTATCCATGTCCCTGTCTGGGCCTACGAAAACTTCGCTCATATGTGGACTTGGCCGAAGGCTGTTTTTTAGCCCCACCCCGTATACCTTGGGGAAAAAACACTTTAGGCTGCTTCATTCTTTGCGGCAGCGTCCAGCAGCGACCAATAGCGTCCACCAGCGTCTGGCAGCGTCAGAGAGAGGATGCTATGGCGCAGTAGGGAGGGTAGCAGAGCTGGTGGAGAGTATAGCGTGATTTAGGAAGCTACCACGCTGCTGTGTCCCCTCCTATTGCTCCATACTCTCCTATCGCGGACGCTGGTAGACGCTGGCGCTTGCTAGTAGATACTGGACGACGCTGGAAACCCTGACAGACGCTAGATCTATATCTATACTTTACTAGTCGCTGTCGCTGCCGAGATCGCGTGAACTGCATGCTTGGATGCGGGCTATTGGGTCACAGGTGGACATGCTAACCTCCAAAGTATGGAAAACCCTGGGTGGGCTGATTCATTCAATGTGCTGGCTTATCCTCACCTCTCATCGACGTCAGCTCGAAATGTCGTGTGACAATGCTTAGTAAAGTTTTAAAAATTTAACCTCCCACTGTATTCTCCACACAATGCAAGCCATGGTGGCTCTGCAAACGGTTAGCGGTGTGGGCGTTGGCCGCAATTATAGTCGCTGCGAGGTGGTCTTTTCTACCACTGGAGCGTACTTCAACCCGCAACGATTGACGTAGAAGGCTCCCCGACTGCACCAAATTTCAGGTCCCTCACACGCCTTCTAACACTTGTTTAGGGATCACCCTATACAAAGTATGACGGGCTTAACGCTCCGAACACAATTGACTAAAGCATCACTGGGTCGTGAACCCATCCGAGGCAGCGGCGCCCCTTGGCATTGTTCTGTTTTTTGTTCGCAATCATGATTTTCCCTGATGAGGGGTGATTCAGCACCACGGTTTCGTCCTCTAGCCAGAGGTTGAGTGAGTTGCGTACCACCCACGCAAAGAGCGAGTTCCACTCAAATATGACTAGTGCCAGTATAAGGACGCCGTTTCAGTAATTCGCAACAGCGCGTCTACCAGCGACCAGCAGCGTCTAGATGGCTAGGGAAGCATAGGTATCGATCCAGCGTCTGGTAGCGTCTAACAGCGTTCGCCAGCGCCCAGCAGCAGACTGCTGGTAGAGAGTATGGTGCGATAAGAGGGGACCAAATGTATGCTACCCAACTGTCGCGCCATACTTCTCATCCAGCAGTCTGGCACCCTCCTATCTCCCCATACTCTACCAGCTATCTGCTACTCTCCTATCGCGCCATACTCTCCACTGCCGGACGCTGCTAGATGCTGGTGGATGTTGGTGGACGCTGGCAGACGCTGGCGTAGACGCTGTTACAGAAGGAGTTGGAGCAGCCCAACACAGGAGCGATTGCTCTGAGCGATTGCCCTGAACTGTGTTCTTCGGATAACTGGTTAGTTGCTATGTTATTTTTTGATGTTTTTTTTTCAGGTTCGAGTTGCACTCATCCAAAATTCTATAGCGCTACCAACAACAGCGCCGGTAGACGAACAGAAGAAGGCCCTGCACCATAAAATTGGCGCAATGATCGAGGCCGCTGCCTTAGCAGGAGCCAACATCGTCTGTTTGCAAGAGACCTGGAGTATGCATTGTATTCAGTGAATATAGACCTCTGAGTTCTCACAGGGATAAATTGTTCCAGTGATGCCATTTGCCTTCTGTACTAGAGAACGACTACCATGGACGGAATTTGCCGAATCTGCAGAACATGGACCGACGACGAAATTCATCTCAGAGGTACGGGCAAATTACTAATTTCATAGATTTTATAGGTCTAAGACTCAAAGACACATTGTACGCTCAAACACATGAGGTGTGGTATGACACTACCAGCTCTTAGTCTGTCGTTGTTTTTTTTTTTTTTTTTTTTTTTTTTTTTTTTTTTTTTTTTTTTTTTTTTTTTTTTTTTTTTTTTTTTTTTTTTTTTTTTTTTTTTTTTTTTTTCCCCGCCTGAAACTGCACGGGGGTCCGAGTACGGGACCGTGGGAAAGGCTTATTCCTTGCTACGCCGCCCGAAATGCAACTTGCGCGCGGCGAAATGCAACTTGCGCGCGGTGCATTTTGGGCGGTGTAGCAAGGAATAAGCCTTTCCCACGGTCCCGTACTAGGAACCCCGTGCAGTTTCGGGCGGGGAAACCACGACACATCGACAGCTGCGGGGCTGTTGATTCGAGACACCCTAAGTGTTTGGCTACCATGTGTCTTTAATTCAGCATAAGGTCCGCAAGTCCGCAGTTCGTTGCATCTTTAAGAACATTTAGCAACAGGTCGTGACTAGATGGGCCATGACTATTTTGACAAGGTCTTATTGACACTTCATGAAGAGTACACGTGCAGCACTCAATACCTATCATTTCTTCGACTTTTCCAATCCGCGAACGCTGCTAGATAGAATGGTTGGGATACATTTGGCTCCAGCTTCAGAAAGTGGAAGGAGAATCCACCCTTGCATGATTCGCTTGGAGGAGGTTGCGTTCTGTTTCAAAAAAGTCCCCTTCCGCAATGCGATGGGATTTTCTCGCTATGGGTTTCATCGGTTTTTCGCCTTTCGTATTCGCTATAAACCCTCCCCTTGTTGCTTATCAGGGTCTATCATCGGATTCCCCAACAGGATAGGGAGGTTGCATTTGGTCGCTGGGGGAGGGAAGGTATTAATTTGTTCTGAGAAAAAAATTTTTGATAGTTGATTTTTCTTGTTTCGGGGACGCATCAATTACCGCTGTACCCGGCGTTTCGAAAGCACAATTTTTGACAGAAACGGTAAACCTCTTGGAGAAAATCCGCGAACAAAAATATAGAAAATTGGGAAAATCTAAAAAAAGTGGTAAGTAGCACGGGGGAGAGGAGTTGCTGTTTGGCTTTCCCTGTTTCACATGTGCCATACTTACTAGATACTCATCCTTGCGTCGGACAGCGTCGAGAGAGAGAAGGAAAGTGGCAGCGGGGGGGGGGCGGGTCGTCGGATTCATAGCCGCCAATTAATGAAAGTCCTGTTCTGGTGCCACAACACCAAGCATACGGACTAGTTCGATAGTTGAGTTTTGGTGGTTAGAGGGTGGCGATATCATTCGTTACCGCTCCGCCCTCCGATCGCGACTTTGTTGCTCGGGAAAAAAATGGAGTAATCTTGAAAATACTTACGGAACAGTTGGTTGGGAATGTTTACAAATCAAGGGAAACCATGCATGGTAAGGATGGAGAAAGGTGCCGTCCAGACGGAGGACATTAGGGCGAGAGCCTCGACTTTTTTTGCGAAAACCTTTCCATCTCAATTTCCCAGTGCCCTTTCCCCGCTACATCAGATTCTTCAAGAAAACCTGAGGATTTTCAGGAAGGCTGGGAAAAAACGGTAAGATTCTGGGGAAACTCAGGGTGATAGTAGATCAGATGTGGAAGAGGACATTATGGACGGCATATAAGGAAATTAGGCGGAGGGTCGTATTACACTGCCATTTCACTAATATCTGCCAATGCTCAGCTATGAACTCCTAATCCACCAATGATTCACTTTGAAAACCTGCTGGAAGGGATTCCTATGAAATGGATCGTTACGATCTGGTCAGACAGATTATTTGCGCCATTCTTCTCGCTTTTTTGAAACCGTTATCTGCAACGGATCTTTCGACTCCTGGGAGCAATCTCTGTCTCATCGTGACGAGGCCTTACGCACACCTGAATTCCTTAGGGAACCGGAAGCATTACTGTAGTGGGATAGTACAGGGTATTCCATAGGCACGGACGGGCCAAAGCGGTACTCTAGTATCGCATAGCCGTTGACAGAGGTGGAATTGGAGCCTTCAAGAGACGTGATTGTCTACACATCGTCGAAGGAAGGTTTCCAGAACAAAACAGGGACGCACCATTCATCCCTCGTTCGTTACTTCAGTTTTGATTCGTCCTGGAACTCAAGCTGTTGGGTTGACAGAACACTTGCCGAGCAGGCACTCGGCCTAAGCCACAACCTACCTGCATTCTGCCTGAAGCCGCAGATACTGGGATCGCCATCAGGCTTGTTCTGGTGCGGCGCCTGTAGCTCAGGAGGGGTTTTTCCTCCGGGGTCAGGTCTATATTAGTGCACGAATTCCGGTGGAAATCTATTGTGGTCCACACAGGTGGAAGAGAACGTAACTTATAGCACAGAAAGAACCCTAGGTATCCACTTGGCAGCCAGGACTCCACCTTAGGCACGGATGGTTTCACCGCGAAATGCAAATGAAGGCCAGTAGATGGAAAGTCCTGCGTTCAAGCTCTATTCACGCACGCTTCTTGTGAGAGAACAGCTTCTTGACAAGATTCGGTGCTCAGCGTGATTTATTGCTACCGCATACATAAGCGAAAGTTTGCAAAAAGTATAGCTTGATTCTCGACGTTTCCCCAGGAAACTGCGGAAGACCGCCTGTACACCGTTTGCTAGTCTCTCGCAATTCGTAAAGAAAGCGATAAGTCAAGCAATCTGTCTGGAAGAAGCGGTTCTATACCCAGGTGCGAGCGTGATCGTTCCGTCGCCTTTATCTGTTATTTCATTCGTTGCCAAAATACAGGTATGGTGATCATAAACCCGATTTTGGAAAGGGACGAATCAAAAGATGACGTCATCTGGAATGCAGCTGTGGTCATTTCTCAAACAGGGAAAATCATCGGTAAAACACGGAAGAATCACATCCCCAGAGTTGGCGATTTTAACGAGGTATGTCTCTAAACCACGAATCATTTGATAAATTACGCCCTGCTCTGAGCTTCGATCATCAATCGTAGACTTGAGTTCTAGATTCTTAGATCTACAAAACTGCTTTGCTGGTGATATAGTAGGGAGGCCTCGGTAAGCAGACTGCGACTTATTGAGTGCAATCTGCTTCCGACATTGTTCATCGATCTATAACGAGTGAGTAGTATAGCCTCTCTCTCTACCTCAAACCTCAAACCACGTATTCCCTGCTCCTTCTAGGCGCAGAGGGGGAATGTTCAATTACCGGCAGCATAGCCGGAAAAATGCAAGCACTCAAAATGTCCTAACCGCCCGCCTCTTCAAGGCCTCCCACTGCTAAGTAGATAACACCCGCAGTACGCTCTCTGCAAGCTGCGCGTTCTTTCTTCGGGCGCTTGCGCTTTTCAATTCCCCCCCCCTTTCCGTAGCGCTCTGGTCCTGTATTTTCCACAGAAAAGCGTGTAACTCGGGAAGAAAGCCCATTTTCTTCCTCTGGATAAGTATATATTAAATCGGATACAGAGAGGAAGGCTTGATTGGTCTGGGTAGAAGCCAATCCCAAATTTGATTCACTGATTCGCGCAAGAGGCGACTAGTCTCTAAAGTTCGATATTTGCCAGTACACGCCCGCGCCTACTGATAGAAACGAACACTCGTTCCCCGTTCTCTTTACTCGAGAATCCTACTTCTCGGCGAGCTTTTCAAATCCCTACTTAATAAATGGAAGCTGCTCCTTGGAAACCGTGCACGCGCAGTAGCCTCAATTAGACCAACTGAGAACCTAGGCACTCAAATAGCTCGAGTTTCTAGATGAACTATGAACGAGGAGATGTGCCATGATTAAGAATTGTAGGGAGATTTAATGTGGCTGAAGTGCTTAGAGATTCCAGTCATCTGGCTGTGATTTAATCCTCTTATGAGAATGTTTCAGTCGACCTACTACATGGAGTCGTTCTTCAGACGATTTACAGGTAACATGACTGGATTGAGGGAAATGATTGATGAGAGCATTTTGATCGCAGACAGTCCAATTTGGAATAATAGATGATGAGCAGAAATTGGCCGAACATTGACGACATTCCTCTTCTCTATTGGGGCGTGTTACAGGAAAGATTGCCATCAACATCTGCTACGGACGTCATCATCCTCAAAACTGGATGATGTATGGTCTAAACGGCGCCGAAATCATCTTTAATCCTTCTGCCACTGTTGGCGCGTTGAGGTACCGTTTGCCTATTTTGTGCCTAAGACAGGATTTCTTTCCAGCTGGTTTGCTGAGAAACGGGAAGGCGTATCCTACAATCAAGCACAAAGAGTGGGTCTTGTGGTCTCACATGCGTTTGCTAGAGCACTGTTGGCCTAATATGACCCGAGCCTGAACCTTAAAAACTCGCGGGCTAGATCGTTGGCTAAAATGAGGCTAGCGGTCACTTTTGCAAAGCAATTTTTCACAGTTAGTACAAATGAGCGCTAAAAGAAACCCGCTTCTTATTCAGATGTTACAGAATCCTTAAACATTTTGCTTTCAGTGAACCACTGTGGAGAATTGAAGCCCGACAATGCCAGCTATCGCGATCACTGTTTCACAAGCTTGCCAATAATCGAGGGGCACTTAAGTTTCGCCGGAAAGCGATGTTCACCTCTGGAATGGCTTCCAGCATGGTGAATAGTAGCAACTAGCAAGAGTTTTCAGTCAAGGAAAAGTATTGCAAGAGGCTTATATTGTGACAGGAACTTTTTTCAGGCTTTGTGGAGCTGCTCTCATTTGTTGCATGTCGTAGAGATTCCCCCCACAAAAATGGAGTTAGAGCTTCGCTGTGCGCTTCTGAATGTATAAAGCAGTAAATGCGGTATGCAGATGTTTCGAATCCTGATGACAACTTGCGACGGCGTTCGATGAGAAAACAGTCTTACATGTAGAGTCGCGTGTGTGACCGCTAGAAGCAAGGATGGAAGGAAAAGGAACAACAAAACCTGCTGATGGCAGTAGAGCGTGACCCAAAATGGTGCGCAGATCCGTGGTGTAAAGTGTGATATTATAGGCTGGTTTAAACCAGAAGTCGTTAAAGTACACCGCAGCATGACGATTTTCCCAGCATTTGATGTTGTACGTGCGAACCGCTTTTAAAAGATGAATAATGATGGGAATAGTTGTGCTCTACACTGCCGGCAAGGACAACTCGTTAGCATTGATGGATGGGCCAGTCTAACATGAACACCTCAATTCGACCTTGTTTATGTCCAACTCAAACTTTAATTGATGAGGAACTAGTCTCATTGCTATTCTTATCTCTTTGTATTATATTCGCTTGTTAGACCGGCTTTTCCCAATGATGGTGGCCAGATCAGGTGTAGTAGGGGAACAGGAAAGAGGATTGGGTATGAAATGAGGGACCATTGGTCTGGGCACGAGGACAAAAGACAGTGCACATAACGGAGAAAAGGCTGTTTTTTGTGAAAGGGTTGCGTTCGTGGAAGAGTCGTTTGGGACAGCTGCACACGTTTCTGGTAAGTGTTTGGTCACAAACAGAGAGTAGTATATACCTGGCTTCTGGCTAGTGAGGAGCAGGGTGGCCATTGAGTTTCTGGCTTGTGCAGTGATCCGGAATGTATCCACTTCCTGCTCAAATTAGCGTTTCAGTACCATTTTGTAAAAATTCAATTCCGAAGATCCCCTACCTCATCCCCCAGAGGGGAAGTCCTTCTTCAAAAGGTTCATCTCTTACTGGAGATAGGTTGACATGAAAGGGACCTGGTCATTCGTGCAGAGTAGCGCTCCAACCTAGGTTACATTGGCAGATACGACTTTGAAATATCTTAAAATGACGTTCAAAAAATATATACAGTGAGGTGTGAAATACATCATATCGAGTAGTTCTGCTCGGTTACACGCTTTCATTTCCAGCACATCGCGATTTCGGCCATTTCTACGGAAGCAGTTATATTGCCGCCCCTGATGGAAGTCGAACACCTGTGCGTTTTCCCAGAGTGTTGAGCTTTCGTTTTTAGACATTTCTGGAAGAGAGCGTACATTCCAGGGTTTATCACGTACTAGAGATTGGAGTACTTGTCGTAGAGCTTGACCTCAATCTTTGCCGACAAACAAAGGACAGCTGGGGCTTCAGGGTAAGTGAATATAAGGAAGTATGTCACGTAGTAAGGACAATGTATCTCCCAAGCAGAGCTACAGAATAAAGCGCTATTCTACAGGCCCCGAACTTACGTTGTCGTGTAAAAATGTGTCTTTCAGATGACGAACAGGCTGGATCTATACGCAGATAGTTTCACGAAGGCTGCTCAACCTTACTACAAACCCGATATTCGAAAGGAAACCTAATAGATGCTCGAAGATGTTTATGAATAAATCCTCAACGGTTCTCTCGTTAAAATGGAAAACAGCGCATGCATGAAGGAGAAACAGGAAACATACCAGCAGTACTCCACATATTGGGTCGGCCCTTAAAGGAAGAACCCGCGATTACTCGCCATCTCAGATGGTGGATTAGGGGGTTCCATATAGACGACAAGGGGTTGAGTAACTCGACTGTGAACAAAAAAAGCACAAAAAACATGCCACCTGCCCTAGATAGAACCCCATTTCGATCCCAGTTTGTACGTGCCCAATCAACTCTATCTCCAAAACTACGCCCTACGATCGTACAAGTGGCGGTTATCATGCTTTTCTTCCTGCAATCTCATTTTTCACCTGAAAGTCGTCATTGGGTGGCGGAGTTCTGGAGGAGTAGTGCACTGGAAAAAAGGAGGACCACTAGAAACCTATATTGCGCTTTACGCCGTCTTGGAAATTTTGCCGCGAAACCGGTACAAGGTTGTTCGTCGCGGACCACTCTGATCTCCTGACCCAAATTTTCAACTTCGATACCTGATCGCGGAGCGTGCCTTTAAAGGCATAGAAAATCTAAAAAGCCTAGGAGATTTCGCAGAAATGAGGAAGAAAATGGCGTCTTTTTCCTTATACAAGTTTTTTACTGAACGTTTTTTACTAAAAGTGAGAATCGTTTCCAGGTGTGTTCCTTACCATTTGATAGATAATTTTCCGCTCTATAAGATTGATTATAGTGATTGCTTTCTCACTATTTCGTGATTTCTGTTATTTTTTACTGCATTGGAGTGTCGAGTCGGCGCAAAAGTGATTTTTGACAACAACTCTTGCATTTATCTTGGCCCTCAAATCACAGAGGAAGCCTAAAACAGGTGATATGTATGTCCAATGGAAGGTGCTTCTTATGGCAGCTTGAAATTGGTTTCAGCGATCAAGAGCTGGGATTTCGGACCTTGTAATTGTGCATCGCACGGGGGCCCTCTTGGGGTGCGACTGCCTGCAGAATCTACCCACTAATTTTTGAACGACTAATATCAGCTGAGGATGATGCTTGATTATAATGAGGAAGTATTCTATGACCTCCAACAATTCCCTTTCCTCGATATGGATTTCCATGAATAGAACCAGTAAGCTTCATTTAGATGTAGGGTACAGGTTCGCTGCTGGTCTATGAGGTCTGAATAGCAGCTTTTGAAACGGTGATCAAAACTTCTCCAAAATTTGCGGACGATTCCTCGAGGCGAGTTATGGAGGTTTTTCTTTACTGTTTTTCTTCTTCCGGATGCGCTAGCGCCGAATCGTTGGCACCTGTAGCGCGACTCACAGCGTTTTTCGCACAAGATAGATGTATCATATTCGTGTTCAGGGGCCAAATAATCCCTAGACCTGGCACCTTAGTGAAATCTAAGGTTCTGACTCAGCTTCGAAAAAATTGGGGTTAGGCTACATGGCGGGCTTTCGGCAAGAACTCAGCTAGCTGACTCACTGATTCGCTGGCCGTCTGCATCAATTTCGCTATTTTTAGCCAGGAGAAATTCCATCGCCGAAGGGCAAGTCATCGAATGTGGGTGACCCCCGCCCGCATGCTCGAATTACCCCATAAGAATAGCCCACTATTTCCAAGCAAGTTCGAAATATCAGATTGGCTAGGACTTGGTCCCTGGGTGTTTGACATCGCTGATCATGGAGACTGATGCCCATGACGTCCGCGCCAAGTTAAACGCCATCGTCGCTTATATCCGTTGAGCGCTCTAGCTGCCACGTATTCAGAAAATACTTCGCTTCATTCAATGTAAAGAGCTTCACGTATCTCACGATAGCGACGTATAAACAACCACGCGGGGATAAATCCCTCCATGTCTCCGCTCAGAGGGTCGTTCCGCAAATACCGAAGGCAGATTTGGTTTATATGTCTCAAGACGCGTACAACGATGAACACCTCATTGGAAGTGGCCGGGCTGACTTGTTGACCTTTCCTTAGAACCTTATCAGCAAGTCTAATGGTAAGAGTCAAAAAGTCTCGGCCAGATACTGAACAAATAGGCATGTGGGGTTTTAGCTTTTTGACACTTTGACGACAACGCGAGTTTTCAATTTTCGGCCTCGTGGGACACGCGCGCTTTCTTGAACGCCACAAGCGCGGTACGCATACAATTCAAGCCGTCCCACGAAGCGCTTTTTTGGAGATTGGATCGAAAAACCTGGTTTAGAGAGCAATTGTGAAGTAAGTCAATTATTTACTATGGAAAAATCTGGGCTGGCCAACTCTCTTTGCACCAGGGCCAGGAATTTGTCTGTAACCAATTACTTTTTCATAAAAAACGCAAATCGTGCTTTCTACAGGATTCAGAATCCTTCACCTTATATTTTTTCATCATTATCGTTTGTAATTGTCTGTATTTGTTGGGCAAAGTGAGTTAAACAGCAAACCAATCCAAAGTTGAGGAGCAAACCAATTCAAGCTTATAGTGCTCTTTCCACAGGAAATCTTTGCTAAACTTGTGTGTACTAATCTATTCCATGGACCACGTGTTGTACGAGTATACTAAGGACTGGCCTATAGAATGAATAGGAGAAACTAAACAAAAAATCATGCACTAGGGAAAGATATGGATTTGTTGATCGTGATTCGTACAAAATGCGCGTCCCACGTGGCCCACAAAGCGCGCATTAAATGCGTATCACGCTGTCGTCAATGTGTTAATTAGAAGTCAAAAAGGGTGGTTGTCGAACATGCTCAATGTCGTCGACTTGACACTCCAGTTTAGGCGCTTGAAAATTAATATCAGTATCAGTTGAAATGTTTTATTTATGACTGTTCATCTCACCAGCGATCGTCCCATCCAGTGCAGGGTACAGCATCGTTGTGCGAAACCCAGGGATAAGGTCATTCCTTGCTGCCAAAGAGGGGGAAGGGGTCGTATACGCAGGGTGGGTGAACAGCAAACAGGGCAAAAGTGTCATCGCTGTTTCATGCAGTAAAACCAACGCCGTAGAGAATAGGTATAGGAGACATCCTATCCATATGAAAATCCCGCTTAAGTTGTCTGTTGTGTGTTGTGTGGTGTGTGTTTGACCGAAATTCATAACTTCCTTCAAAATAGCGATAAAGCGCTCAAACTTATGAGTGATCTAGGGGTCGGGCAGGAACACCATTGGTGGGTGGCAGAAAGTAATAGCAGTTGAGAAAACACCATGAGGGGCCTTATAAAGGCAAAGTCAGGAAATTCATAACGCGCGTCACAGCAAAGCTAGAGCGTTGGTTCCAAGAAGTAAGATAGGGGGCAGGATGGGAACATTGGTGGGTGGCAGGACGTGATAACAGCTGACAAGATACCATAAAGAGCCTCAGAAGGAAGGTCAGTCACCAACTTCGTAGCGCGAGTCAAGCAGCGCCAGAACGGTTGTTCGCAAAGAGGTTAGGACAGGGAGCAGGATGGGAACATTAATTGGTGAGTGGCGGGACGTGACAATAGCTGATAAGATACCGTATAGGTTCTTAGAAGGGGATTACCAATTCCAAGACTCTCTTCAGGGAAACTGTAGAACGTTGGCTCCAAAAGTAAGATGGGGGACAGGATGGGAACATTGTTGGTGGGTGGTAGGAATTGATAACAGCTGATAACATATCATAAAGCCCTAGAAAGGGACTAAATTCAAGTGCGCCGCGGCGACGGTAGTAAGTTGACTGCGAGCGGTGAAATAGGAGGTAGGATGGGAACGGTGGGTCAGAGAGGAAGATCCCAAATCCATGGGCAAATACTTAGGGAATGTTTCTATTCCTCAGCGATAGTCGAAATTGATTCGACCGCTAAACGCTCGAGTTTCACCCAAAAGTAAAAGCCTAAAGATGTTTTCCAGTGAGGAATGATAAGAACCACCAGCAAACGGATACGTGAAAGCTGCTCAACGGAAATGCTAGGATACGAGGAGCTTTCACTAAGATCCCGATTACCGAAATTCTTTCAACTGCTGAGCTTTGCTAATTAAAATGGATGTTGGGTGTTTTTATAAATGTGATAAGCACTAGACATAGGCAAATGCTTATCAAGGCTAAAATATGATGAAATGGGCCGCCTTTTGAGTTATGGGATTAGGCCGCGTGTTAGTGGTCTGCACGAAAATCCTGTCAGTGATCAATACCATAGGTTTGATCATGCGCGCAGTAGTGCGCGTCACCCAAACTGGTCTCAAAACATATAACTAATCATATTGATAGTTAACATGAATTCGTAAGTATGTAGATGACTGAGTAATGTAACACAAATAGGCTCCCTTATAGGAGCTTTCTGCACCACCCATTGATGATTCTCCCGCCATCACGTCCCACGACCGGCGCTATTGACTTTGCTCCGGTATTGACTATTCTTAGCGGTCTACCATTTCATTTTCTGCATTCTATTTTTCTACTAAACTGGACTACTTCTGCTCCCGATCAGCGTTCCCACTGCTGAAACTGAGCTACGATTGGATTACTACTCGTGCTACGGCTAAACGAATATTACGCTTCTCTCTAGTTTGCTGATTGCTAAGGCGGATTCGATAATACAGTTGCAGTTCGGGAGACTGAGAGCTCGGGAGACTTCTTGTGGCGGGAGTCGGTGCTTTGTACTCCGCTGAACGCCACTAGAAAAGGTGTATTGTTACATCATTTTTTATGCTGTTTTTTGTTGTGTAGTTTCGCTGCCTTTTTCGACGGAGTGCTCATCTATTTTAAAGATCATTGATTTCTCGCCATTGCTCAGTGACATGAACACGCTGCTGCGATCTACTTCTCTTCCAGCACCTAGCAGAAGGCATATGGATGTTGCCTCGCCAGAAGTCAGGGAGGACTGGTCAAAGCTGGTGGCGGAATGTGCAGAGTCTGAAGTACCAGCATACGTCAGCTGATTCTCAGTGCTCTGCTGGAGACTAAGGAGCAACTGGACAGCATGCGAAAATGGTGCACAAGCTTCGTCGAGGAAAATGAAAAGCTAAGAAAAGTTATTGAACGT